TACACCATCGTGGAGTCCACCAAGTTCATGTTTGCAACTTGATCACTTTTTGCAAGAGATCTTCAAGCGTGCAAGATACATAACATGAGGAAATCCCATTCGGATTTGGTATGTAAAAAAACGAGTCTACTGCTGTGCATTGACGAAATGACACCGTTCTCTGCGCATTGACCGAGTCACCTCAATTTATGGAGTAGGTATTACAGAGTATGCAAACGGGTATCACAAGGGTCAATCCATCAATGCAATCAATACGTCTCATTTCTAGGATACAGTCCATTTTATACATTCATTAGTCATGGCAAAAGATATGTTAGAAGTCCATGCCCATCAAGTAACTGCGAAATTTCGTCAGCAATTGGTCAAAGTGCTCGCGCGGTAGATGGAAGATCCAACCTTTCGTAGATGCGCATAAACTTGGCAACGAATGCCTCTAGGTGAAAAATCACTTTCTGTACCCGGTGTAAGCATATTCTCTGTGTTGGTTAGGCAGACGACCCTTACGCTTCCTTGAGTGATTCTGTGCTCGTAGAATGCGGACCATTTAATTACGTCCGGCTTCAATGCATCGTCGACTCTTGCAACTAACTTGAAAGTCAGAGTCTGTGAAATTGTTAGCAGGAGTCATTTCGGACGTGGACGAGTTCGGCAGTCGAACCTTGATGATCGTCGTAGGTGGTATGCAGTGGGTGAGGAGGTCATATAACCGCGCGCGGACCTGCAGCAAACGGGCCGGTGACCGCTCAGCGAGTATCTCATCTGCAATTAATGAGATAAGAGCTTCCCAGTCAGGCGGGGGAATTGGCGTATTGTCCGTGACCTTCTCACTGATTGAGTAGCATTGTTAGTTATATACCGGCAATCACAAACAGTACGGAGTACCCACGTCTGAGCATATATCGCCTCGAACATGAGAAGTGCTCGCCGAAGATTGCGATCGCTCTCCTTGGCTATTCTCTTGTTGAGCCCAGGGGCCTCCGACCAGCCTTCCCTTTTACCAGCGTTCTGTAATACCGAGCAGATTTGTTCTTCCGTAGGTGCGGCGACCCTGACCAGCAGAGTTCGAGAACGGATCGGAGCAATAATGTTCGACGTGCTATTTGCCAGCAGGATCAGTCTCAGGTTGGGACTGTATTTCTCCATCGTTCGTCTCAGCGCCGCTTGCGCATCCCGAGTCAAATGATCCGCCTCGTTGATGACAACGACCTTGAACCGTTGTTTCGCAGATAAATCAACCTGTTGAGTCTGCGCGACCTCCTTAAGCAGCTCTTGGATGACTACCCGGTCATAGTTGCCAACATCGGATGGGGTGATCTCCAGATGGTAGACAGATGATACGATATTGAACTCAAGTTTCCGATTGCTTGTCGTTTGGAAAACTCTGGCGTCAATCTTGATTTTCTCTACTCCCGAGCCGTACAACTCCTTCAGTGTCGCAATCACGCGAGTTTTCTTGCCTGCACCAGACGGCCCATACATCAGGAGATGAGGGAAATCACCACTTTGAGCCTGCGGAGATTCAAGAAGAGAGTCAATGCTTTGTTCATCATTCAGCAGCAATCCCAGGCGTATCTTACCAACGACTTTAGACGTGCGGAAAGCTCATGATGGTACGATAAAGAATCAAGCGAACGAGGCCGCAATTTATCCACTAAAAGAGCCATCTTGTTACCTCTATCTGCAATTGTATACGAACTCCAGTATAGTAAAAAGACAGATCAGCGGCCGTTGCAGAGTATATCGTTTAGAGCCGATACGCGTTTATTCGTGACGCGTGAGCTTAATTGGTGGCCCGTGCACACTGCCCAAAGTTCCAACCTTGAGTACAAGCCACACGTGATCCGGGTAAAGCTGCATGTTCCTAAGTCCAACTAGACTAACATGAACAATTCGGTCCTCGCCTTCGAAAATCAAGCGGGTAGGGTGCTTCGTGTTTTATATGGAGGGAATCTTTTCACATATCTTGTTCAAAGACACGCTAGTTCTACCTGAAAGGTTATATGTACAATTACACGCGTTTGTATGATACACCGAAGGACGGCCTTCCCGATATTTTATATCCAAAGCGGCCGTATCCAGAGAGGAGATAGTATTCGTTGTCCATCTAAATGTAATGGACGTAGACACGCCGTCTATGTGGCGAGACTCGGTCAAATCAAGCTCCACGCCAAGAGATGTGTACGCCTCTGGAGTGAGGGAGTTGACCGAATTTCGACTTTTGATGTTGCTTCAAGGCATGGGTCTGATAACATCACGGCTCGAGACCGACGCGAGCCGCTGCGTCCTGAGGGGATTATGAGGCCGGTTTTCTGGAGATTTAAGCAGCGGGTATCGGTTTCAGAACTCCATTGTCGTCATACTTCGCTTCTATGGAGAAGTCAGCGTTCCATCCAACTTCGAGCTTTAGGACTCATTGTTTCTTACTGAAGAAAGTATACGACAAAGTGATGGTGTCAATGCCCTTCATGGCCGGATCTTTCACAAAATCCGGGTCAATGAAGAAGAAGACCGGCATATCAACAGATTCTCCAGCATTCAATTTCTGCTCTTCAAAGCAGAAGCACTGGATCTTGCTGAAATATGGGGCGACCTGACCAGGGGTAACACTGTACGTTGCAACACCGATAATGTCCGTCGGGCCTTTATTCGTCGCAGTATAAAAAGCAAGTGCCGTCTCGCCGGGCAACACACGGACTTCACGCTGCTGTGGTGTAAACTTCCAAGGCAGGACATCCGAAACTGAACCATTGAAGGTAATTCGAAGGCGACGAGCGTCGGCCACTGGCGTTACGCGCGATGAGGTGTCGCCGTCTCCGGCACGGTGTGTAAGTACTGGTTGACCGTTCCAGCCGGTCTGTTGACAAATCTGCAAAGGAAGATTGTTCAGGTTCATGTCTGGACCGAGACCGGCAAACCATTATTCAGGCTTCCACGTACCATTTTATATAGAGGAACGGAGCCATAAGCGAGCGCTAAGGTTCCAACAATGAGACTCGCGGTGTAGTACCTAGACGTCGTCAACCATATCGCTAGTAAGAAGATACCAATATTCATACATTACGGATGCATTCCGTTTCTGCGACTGGGGTGTATTGAAAGGCGCAAACGAGGCATTTTGGTGTAGTCCCTGACGCAAGAACGAATTGTGAGAGAAAAACTTCTTCCCAAAGTCAAAATAGCGCATGTTCAAGCGCCCTGAACATAGACCGGTCCCTGCCGACCGTAAATGTGCCCATTGCAAGGGCGCACGAGCAAACATGACTGTCAATTTTGGTGCTTTGCGGATCTATCGGCGAATGCATCGTCTGAGAAATGGGGCCGACATGAAGATCATGTCACATGATCCTGTCCCCTTATCGATAAGAACTATATAACAGTCCACCAGCAACATTGGAACCTCTCAATACATCCCAACTCGCAAACCTCAATGTCGGGCAGGAGAACGAAAAAGATCTGATCAAGCCGTCAGAGAAGGAAGCAGGAATTTTGTCTGCCGTCCAGTATGACGGACCACGCAAGTTTTGAAGTGACCTGGTTTAGCTGAGCATTCGGTGGTTCTCGAACATATATACATCAACAGAGCTTGACTTTCATCCATGTTCCCGGAATAACCACACCCTTCCCTACCTTGCTTGCTTCTGCGAGTATGATCTGGGTGATTTGATCAATATATGTCCGGGACCAATCCAACGCTTAGGAAGATGCAAAGCGGCCCTTGATGCAGGTGTCACCTTCAAGAAAGGCCAGATCTATATCGTGCAACTATCGGTGACGAGTGACGGCCCCAGCCTAACTCTTAAGCGGACGGTGGATTTGACCTCAGTGTTGGCACGGGATGAACTACTTCTCAACGCCATGTATGACACGGCGGGTAACCTGTGGTTCAGCAGTAGTGGTCTGTGAGCTCAGGACGGCACGGAGACCTCGAACAGAATCCCACCACGATTGGGTGCATGAACGGAGGGCATAATCCATGCACGCCATCTCCTTAACCAAATGGTCGAGAATGGCATAGCTGGCAGCGGGACCAAGGTCTATGTGGTCACAAGGCCTATCCGGGACCGGAAATCATGCCAATGCGACTGATAACCTGTCTGCGTTGGGTCCTGGATCTGAACTCAACCAATGGGTTATGGTCAATGTCGTATGAGGCTGGCGACCCCCAGAAAGCCTGCTCTTTGTCTAAGGCTCTGGAGCAACTCCAGCGGTGCTGGGAGATCAGTACTTAATTTGATTATCTATCATCAGGAAGCGCAAGCAGTCTCAGGACAGGTGCTTCGCCGCGTGCCGATATTCGACGCTGAGGCAAGTAACGTCGACATCGCGCCACTGGCCCATGGTGACGGAGACTGATTGGGTCTACTTTTGTGCAATGTCTACAATCCACCGCCATTGTACTACTCACGCTGATTCTGCTGGTCTGAACGGTGACTTTAACAATCTGACTCAAATGGCTCCCGGAGTCGCGCGCGCGCACGTCGCTGGTGATGGTAGCTCCTGTGAGATTGCCTGAGCAGAAAGACCTTCGAATCCAATCTTTTCCGATTATTCGCACAAGATGTTGGCTTGTCACTGAAGGGCCTTGGGGAGTGAGATGCTGTCGTGCTTGATTGGAGGACTGTTAAGGGTGTTTGGCGAGTCCGCACCGGCGCGGATGGCACTTATAACATTGATTACCAACCTGGCGCAATCCGGCCAGATGAGTATTTTTACCAGAGAGCGATTGGCGGCATTATCAAAATTCATGAAGGGTCCTCATGATTTCTTGCCACAGAGTCGTCAGGTATTTTCCACTCTGTCATTTGAAATGAGCATTTGATCGAGAAACTGTGTACAAGCCACACGAATCTCATGACCCTCATGAGGATATATGTAATGGGCTCTACGTCAACTATTGAGTGCTCCATATTCATTCTGAAATTTTATTCATCGTAGGAAAGGAGAAAGGTCTTAGCAAAGCTTGGTCATTGCGAACTGCTGGCTCACACAGGACCAGTGTTTCAGACCAGTTTCAACTTCCGTCTTTCCCAGGGCAGCGCATCAAAGGCCGTATGTGGATCAGTCGATGATCTAACAGAAATCCGCAGAAATCCTACTCTCATGAGAACCTCCGCTTCGTCCAAAGGTTTTAGAATGAGAAGATCGCAAAATCCACGATGGGGACTCCAGCCTTCCTCTACCCGCCATGCGTCCCCTTGTATAACCATACAAAAATAGTGCTCGATTTCGCTGCCGAACTTGTCCCGCTCTGCCTTTTGGGTATCAACGGACCTGGGAATGCAGCATGGACAATCGAATATCTGTGACTGATCTAGGACCAAAGTCAGGCCAAAAGCTTCTTTGCCGTGTAGTCTTCGGGTAAGTGTCTTAAATCCAATGCAAGAACCCTCCACGAGGATGTGGGATCTGTCCAGGACGTAGCCATACGGGCGTTGGGGATCGGCAAGAGTAATGTAGTGAGATACCAGTATTGGCCGGTATTGCTTCAGCCAGGAGGGATCCTTAGCATGCTCCTGCATTAGATTCTCGGGCCACGCCAGAGCACACGAGCTCACTGCACCATCTACGCTGGCCCAGCTCCAGCTTGGAGCTCTGTACTCCATTGCTGGACGTAAAACACCGTAGGGCCGTGACCAACCAAGCCCGAAGGCGATGTCACTGCTCCAAATGCCCGCGATATACTCGCCCAAAGAGCCGTCATTGATGGCGGCTGCGAGGGGAGCCATGGCGAGTAGTTTGTCGGATGGCACATTGACTGATCCCTTTGAAAAGGCGTCTACACACCGATGCCAGGCCTCGAGTCGTGCCACTCGCTTGCTGATGGCCACCTCGTCCCCAACGTCACCGGCTTCCTTTGTTTGACCTTGGAAAGGCCTGTCGATGTACGGCTGCACGACTCCCTTGACGTAGCGTTGTCGAATTTGCCCGGAGCCTGTCTTTTTGTCGACAATTCCAGAGGCCTCGAACTGAAACCCAGAAGCACACTCCCAGATCAATTGACGCCTCGTGACATGTAAAACTCGCGGAGCTAGCATTCTTTCGACAATCTCCCATCCCCGTCCCACCAGCGGTGACTCCTCAATATCGGATGCCCACCGCAGGAGTCGCCGCCGGAGGTATTTGTCTTTGTTGCGACCTAGTGCAGGAGAATAGAATACCCGTCTGCCATGGAAAATTCCTGAGCCTGCGTCCTCCGCAACTTCCGCTGAAAGCATCAAAGCCGCTTGACCGTATATTTCTGCAATTCGAGCCGGATCGCTGCCCCATTCCTCTCTGGAAGTACAAAGGCTTCGGGTCCACAGATATTGATACCCTAGCTTGCGTGCGATTTCTATCGCGTCTGCCAAAGTCTTCGACAGGGAAGGCACATCTATTGGAGCCGAGAAGACGGTCTTACCCGACTCTCGCTGAATCAAAGACTCGAAATCCCCGGAGCAGTAGCTCAAAACCATGTAAGAACCTGATCTACCGTTCGACGAACACAGCCTGGGAGAAACTGCAGGATCTGCTGGGATCTCAATGATATTCTCCGGCAGTTTAACTGGCAAGGGCTTGGAACAGGTACTATGGGCCGCACATTCAGCAGTCCAAGCTTGAACTCGACTAAAGCACTTCTCGTCCCTTAGGTCGACGGGGATGCGACGAACACGATCGACCTCCTCGTCTAGTGGGCCTGTAAAGATCAGCCTTTCAACAGCGACACTTTCAACATAATCTGTGCACACCCTCATAATCTTCTGAAACGCACTGGTCCAGACACAAGTCGTCCGCACAATAAGTGCAGTTACCAAGCTTCGTCGGCTTCCTCGCGTCCAAGCGGGAACTGTCCAGAAAGATCACTCGCTCGGCAAGCTCATCGAGCCTCGTCGTCCATCGAGTAGACGTCTGCAACACGTTGCAGAAGAATTCGCATGCGTCGCAGCCATTTTCGGCTCTCGTAAGCAGGTCTTTGAACGGTCCTAACTTGATACCAGAATCCGTAAGATCATCTTGCTCAAGATCAAGAGAGTCACAGGTCTCGCAAAGCGGCATATCGAGTTTCAATTTCAATAGAAAACTTGATGATATGAGATTCTGGACACATCAAATCACGTCTGATGGGTTGGAGACGGCCAGATCGCTGTTTATCTTGTTGCGGATTTTAGGCTGCAAGGTGGCTGTGCCGCAGCACATTCTGATGATGACAGATGTCAAATCCAATAGCTTTCTTGGAAGCTTTCTTAAGATAGATTTGTTTCTCGAAGGTTGCCATTGGCCATTTACTGGGACGGAAAAGTCGCCTTCTATGAAAAGTTACTAGTTCAAATACTTCACGATGGTAGAACTTGGGTTATCCACAATCAAGCATATCTCAAGGTAAATGATCACTTCTTACAGAGTTTATTATTCATATCTCATCTATTACTGATGTACAAGAACTCTCTCCTGGAGAATTTCGATCGATAAAGGGAACGCTCTGCGACAACAGACACTCTCTATGGGTGCAATCCAATGTACACTGTCCTCCCTTCACTTCAATATGCTTTTTGCAATGTTCCCGAAAACACCTCTAACCATGCTGGGTCGTTCACGAAGGCAGGTGAAAAGAACGGCAGCGCTGAGAGCAAAAGTGACGCGCTCTCGGGATTGATACTGGGATCATGTTAGTAACTGATGGTACACTCTGAGTAATCGGTGGTCTAGGGAACAAATGATAAAAACAGGATGGAACGATAGGGGGAAATGTAACCATCCCCAAGTCGAGCGAAGTGACGTGAACAAAGCTCATTAACCATACCTTCTTGTCATAATAACGGGGTAACACAGTTGCGGCGGCTCTCGGTGCCACGAACAGCGCAATCTCCTGTCGTTTCCGCGCACTTTCAACCAATATACTCCATCCGCACATGAGACACCCGGCCCCGACACAGAGGCCAGAGTCCCACATCTGTGGTGTTACCGCGTCCCGGCTAAAGATCTTTGGACCAATCCTCGTTCGGGCAAGGCAAACAGAGTAGTAGAAAATGCTCACAAACGAGGCGAGGAAGGTAGATGACCGCAGGGCATCGGTCAGGGCCCGACGCAGAGACGACATCGTTTTCATTGATCGCAGACGGAAGACAACTTGCAGCGGGATATAGGTTGCACAAGCGAATTTGAATGTTCTAGCAAATCGCAAAGCAGCGTGTTTTTCGCAATTGGGACCACAACCCATGTGTACCATTTCGCAGGGGATGGGAACCGTCTTGCTTGGGTCTCCCCACTCTCTAGGCCAGTTGTAATCCTCGCACATATACTCAAGAAGATGTGCCTGGCCAGTATCTTTTCCGTATACGAATATCCCTCGCCTGGCCCGTCGAAGCGCTTCAATGAGACGAATGTCCACTTTTGCCACCTCGCCAATCCACTTCCCATAGGATCTCGGAAGTCTTTCTGGGAGGTAAAACCATGCCCACATTACTACAGCAGAGCTGGCAGCGAAAAGACCTGCGTCAGCAAGCACAGGAGCGACAGACTCAGCTAAAGACCAACGATTTTGACTTCTCCGCAAAGCGCGCCAGCGTGACCATGCCAAACAGACAAGAACATCCATTGCTCTAGTGAAAGTGAAAAGTGTGAGGTCCATAGTCCTCCCGGCAAGATCAGGACTGTATTGAGCCGTGACGTTCTTTTCGGGACTATGGCCAGCATTGTCTCCGTTACCAGTTCCTTGGCTCGAGAGAACATCACTGCTCTGGAGTCTGATAGGCTTCTGATTGAGCAGCTGAAAGCTAAACCAGGCAGAAACGAATGCAGTAACGAAGCGGACGAACCGCAAAAAGCCCCGAGGCTTTATGAAGCCGGGTACTTTACCAATTCTACTGCCGAGAAGCGCACAAAGTCGCAAAAGAAGGATAGGTAAGACAGTCGAGCCCCCAACTAAAAGTGCACAGAACGTCGGAAAACTGTCCAAACGGATAGCATTTGTCAATGTTCGAGACAACTGCACCGGTGAGCATCAGATTATGCTTGGTGACTCTGGCACAACGACAAGCAAGACGGAAGGAATATCAACTACGAGTAGAGCAATCGACGTAGACTGATGACAGGGAAAGGATAACCTACTTCTTCAAGCTTCTCCTTGTTGCTCAATCTATCATCTTTCAGTCGCCGTAAACATGATACGAGTCTTGGTGTTGTTGAGGATAGATAACCTATCGCATATGCGCGCAGGACGCTACAGCAGAGCGAGGTCAGTGATTCGTTGCTAAATGGCCAAGCACCAATGCAAGATATTGAAAAGTTACTCCGTGCCATGCCATAAATGGTAATTTTCAGAAGGATTCTTTCGACTTACGGCTGGAGGATCCGAGCCTTGCTCCTATTCCCACGAGCAAGCATCGGAGTATCCATGATGCCTAAATGTTGTTCAGTTCGTTCTTTCTCATTTATCACAATTCGGACCAATCATGATAATGAATCCAGCCTCGATCAGGCTCAGTGTTTGTTTGACAGGACACCGAGCTTGCCAATCAGAAAATAGGAAATCCGGTCCAGAGACACAGGCAACTCAAGTATGGAATGCTGACATGGATATTAGGTTGCTCGCGAGTAAAGCTGTTGGTATCGAGAAAAGTTCCGTACAGTGAGGAACAGTATTCTGGGTAGTAGTAGCAGTAGTAGACACTAGACAGCTACTACTCCTGTTCGTATGTAGCAAAGTTTCGTATGATCTGCTGTGGATCCGTGCAACGGCAATTTCGACCTCGGTCCTTAGACTACTCCGTAGAACTTAGGGAATTCAAAGACACTGATAGGCTTGAGCCGCTTAACTAAGTTAATTACTGCCCCAGAGTTGTCGGCAGTCACCGGTTCAAGGCTGGTTCAGGGGCAGAAACGTGAGAACTAAGACTAGGCGATGCAATGGCCGACGACGATCATCCGTAAGTACGGAGTAGCAGGAACACAAAGCTGAGGTCTCCCAAGCCTTAATCTTAGAACATTGGGATTCAAATGATCAAGAGATCTAAAAACAGCCACCCCCAAACTTTCCCATAATTTGGAGTGAGTCTGGGAGAAGCGACTCAAAAACCAGTTTCATGATAGTTGGAAGCCATCGCTGCTCTTTCTGCTCTGGGAAATTGTTCCGAGGATATCCATGACAGTAAATTACAAAGGTACAACGACCTGCTCACGAAACTCCCCAGAACAGAGGCGTAATTTTGGTAATATGGTTACGTCACGCGACCTCTAGAACACACGAATTTTTGCATGTGATCGACTCGAAAAGACCGACGGAATCCTCCTTCTCCACCAAACTATGTACCTGTTTGAGACGTCTCCAGGTTCCCATCGTCATATTTCTACTTCTTCCTCTTTTTGCACATGAATCTAAATGCGGGGAACGATCTTGTCGTGTCGTTGATCATCTGTATGATACCCGTTGTTATCAGTTTTTAAACCTACTGCGTACCCCGCGGTCAAGTCTCATTTCTACCTTTTGATCATATTTCGTGCAATATCTGAACAGAAAACGCTCGGTCTTTCTTTGGCGCAGTATCTAGCCACTCTTGCTGCTTCGAAAACTCTGGGGCCCTCCAAATCGCACGTTACCGTATTAGCTGTATCTAGTTTGCGATCCGAGATCACGGCCATTCGAGGCATGCGCATCTTGTCTCTCTCTCAGGCCTGCTTGAGACTACCAAGGCAGCAATCAGTTTCGACGCTTTTATCACGACAAACCTCCAATCCGTCGCTCCTTTACACATTATAATGGCTATGAAAAATCCCGACTCCCGTTCTGGGCAGAATGACGCCCAACTCGGACCCTTTGGTTGTATGTGATTCGAGAAGAATCATTCTATTGCTATATCTCTAACTGAATTTGCGTCTTAGATTCGTTTTTATCGCCCATGGACACCCCATACGAACCTGCACCCGCGCCACCTCCGGGTCCTGCGCTCCTTGATGACAATGAATCAAACATGCTGGATAATTTCTTCACTACGATGAACTCGAGTCATTTCACAGATGATTTCTGGCTGCGTAACCAGCCCAATAAATTTCTTGATCCGGTCAATTTCGAGTGGTCCACTGAACTGCCGCCTACGTTTGAAGGCTCCACTACTTCGCTTGGACAACCGTCACTTTCCCATCGAGGAATAGATAAATCTGGCATGGTACCGAATAATCAGGGCGCGAACTCGGACATATTCACCGCGGCTTCCATGCTCTATCAGAACGGGATGGCTGGATCTGACATCAACCCCGGGTTCGGACAGCAGCAATTCCCGTCCATGCCAGATCTCAATTTCAACCATTCTGTTTCAAACGGTCACGGTAAGACTCAGCAGTCCAACAACCACATATCTTCCAAACAGCCTAGCGCTACCCATACGCGTCTGCCTGTTGGCTTTCATACCTCGGAGATGCTATTTGACGTACGGGAACCGATTTCTGCCGAACATCACGCATCAGCAAAGGTGCGCCCACTCCACTGGGGCTCTGATGTTAGCTTTATGGACCAAGGTTACATCGCGCCTCCTGATCAACCGAATGAAGAAGAGCGGACAAAGGAATTGCTCGGGAATTTGGAGTGCCTTGAGCCTCAAAGCAGCGCGGCGAATACTCGAGCTCCTAGCCCGGAGCGGACAACGGGTGGTTACAACTCTCATTGGGGAGATTCCGGCGGGCCAGTTCCGCTCACCAGCCTACAAAGAGAATACAATCACGCCCTAGATGACTATTCGCAGCCAAAGAAAAGACAAAGGACTTCGATCAAGCAAGAAGACGATGAACACTCTGACGCAGATAGCACGAGACCAAGATCAAGACGCTCGAAGAGCTCAGCTAGTGGCAAACCAAGGCGAGCATCAAATGACACAATCCGAAAACCCAAGCTGCAGCAAGGAGGAAAAACTGCCCGTGAGAATCTCTCAGAAGAGCAGAAGAGGAACAATCACATTTTGTCAGAGCAAAAGCGCAGGAATCTCATTCGACAGGGCTTTGACGATTTGTGTTCACTTGTGCCTGGGCTGAAGGGCGGAGGCTTTAGCAAAAGCGCAATGCTCACCCAGGCTGCTGACTGGCTCGAGGATATTTTACGAGGGAACGAAATGCTCAGGGCACAACTAGCAGAAATGAAGACGATGAACGGCTTAGTGATGCCCCGATGATCACCGAGCCAGTTACGCGATGACGATATCTTTTCATTTCTAATCCCTGCAAGACATGGTCTTTATTTTTGACTTGCTCTATATTGAAGCGTTTTAGCGATTTGAGAGTGCACCATTGCCAGAGGAAGACGCAGGCGTTCCCTTCCAGCGGATCTGGAATCAGGTACTGGCAACATTTGCACTTGCTGCCACAATAATGTTGTTTCTTCTAATTTATATTACTGGTATATAGCATTATACCCTTGAAAAATATCGATATCGTACCAAATACTACCAAACTCAGGCCAATGTGTATACATTGATCTCCGATATGTGGAGAGTGTGGTTGAGGTCGCACCGATTGTTTATGTTGGTAGCTTAGAGATATAGAACAGATGATCTCGGCAGTGAGAGTGTTTGGGTGCGACATATCTTCATACCTGTTGCGATATTGTAAAAAGTAGCCATGAGGGATAGACCCTGAGCCACTCTCCTCCAGAGGAATTCTCGTCCTATGGAATAGATACTATGTAGGAGAGATACCCCATAGATAGATCTGGCGATATTGTTTCCGGACGTTGATTGTGCCCCACTCACTGGCTCAGCAATGGTTAGTCCTCAGCTGATTAAGCATGTGACAGTACCCGTAGCGCGTTGTTGGCGGCACATCAAACCAAACCAAGAGCCTTCCTTGGCAGACTTGAAATAACAAACTCACTCTGTATCCCATCATCCACGATTTAAAATATTCCGGAGTTTGAATTGAGCAGCTGAGAAGCAGCGCTATGCCACCGAAGAGAAAGCGTTCTAGAGAAGGCGATGCGCATGACGATCCAGCGCGCAACAAGCGTTTCGCGTACTTGAAGCCCCAAGTCCGGCAGGTTTCCGAGCGGACTATCAAGTCGAAGTGGACAACGCTCCCTGAGCCCGTTCAAGACAAGATTCGTGATTTGTTTCGAGCGGTTGAACGACCGGTTATCGTGCGGCAGCAGAATGAGCGAAAACGCATCGAAGCGCAGGCGGCTGTGCAGGCAGTTGTTAGGAAGTATGTTGATTGCTGAGCATTGAATCTGTCGCGTGATCATGATTGCAAGACGTATGGTCATTATTGACTGACATATTCAATTTTCAAGTCTCGGAAAGCGACTTCCTCGAATGCCGTTTCCTCCTGTCACGAAGGAATCGGTGTTTGACTATGAAGCGGCGCTGAATGAGCATGTATGTGATTTCTCGTGGAATTGTTTGGTGCCATACTGATGTTGAGTCCAGGTATCTCTTGAATCTAGCTTAGCAACTATGACCGATAGTATTGATCTCTTGAAGGCAGAAATTGAGAGGGAAGAGGCCTTATTGGCCAGAGAATCAAAACAATTGCAAGAGATGGAAAAAAACGCAAATCGAGCCGAAGCAGAAAGGAAACGGCAGATGAAGAATGTGAGTCTCCTGAAAGGTTCTGGTCATAGAATAAGTTGCTCATCCTTTTGAAGGAGCATCCGGCACTACGGCAGCTCGACGATATCCCCAAGACTCAGGGCCAAGCGGCTCATTTTACAATTCTGGAACCAAAAGATTCACAATCAGGTTTTGACGAGGTATGGACCAAATATGTTTTTCAAATGCCTGACATTTTTCTGACGTCCAACTCTAGCTGGAGAACGATCCGGAAATCTCAGGCTTGTTGAGACAATTGAACGGGCATCTGAAATCGATGCAGAACAATGTCGCCCCTCTCACTGGCCTTAAGGATGCGCTCACCCGATCGGAAGCAGCCCTCAGTCTATTCTCAGCACCTGAAGCACCCTGACTGATGCAGCCTCTATCACACCTGCCAAATTGACTGAGTATCTTACCCTCAAACTGGCCTTGAGCTCTTAGAGGAAGCTATGCCACAGACCGACCTCAACCCCAAATTCGTGGCAAACCCAACCGAACAGGTGTACTGATGCTCCGAGGCGGCCCAGAGCATCCAGTTCACTTGTCCACGTCACAAGGATCATGCCCGATCTTTGAATGCAATCTGCAGTTGTGCAACAGCAGCTTTGGCGCATGAGCTGAAACGGGAGAATCAGGCTCACTTTATCCAGAGAGGGTCCCAAAGCGAGTAGCTGCCCATGGCAGGATTTAGATCCGATGAAGTACAATTGAAGGTACTACTTTTGTACCTAGATACATTCGTCGCCTAACATAGCGCCAAATGGGGTGTAGCTACCTCGGCCCATCACGTCAAATTTTAACGACGTTCTGTGATTGCGTGAAAATGTCCATCTACAGCCTTGGTTACCGAGCAGATGGGAGCACACTCCATACAGACTACGGGATAGGCGGTGTTGGTTGTAATTGGTTTGCCTGTGGATCCCTATTAAACCCCATGCTTCTCAATAGCCGAACAGACCGTTTGGCCTACCAGAATCCAAAGTGCTTTTGCACTTTCAAAATAGGTGCAAATGATAAATATTAGCATGTACCAAGTTTGTGTAACACAACGTGATTCAGACCGAGGCAGCCTGTAGCACATGGCCCTGCAGCTTCCGTTTGCTGATGGCTGATAATAATAGGTAGATGGGCTGCAATAATCGCTCATGCCCGAGGCACCACATCCCGAAAGCAGGAACAGTTCCGCCACGGTGGTTCCCCCAGTGCGGAGGAGCCCGGGAAAAAAGACGGGCAGCCCGCCCGGCCATCAGTAGTCATCTCGGCGGGGAAATCTGAGCATAAGGCGATCACAATCGCTCGTCGTCGTTGCACCCCTCAGCTCGCAGCTAGGCAAAACCTGCTGTCTGCTCCTGCAAATGCGTCTGATTTATCTTCCTCTAAAGTGATCTTCGATGTCTGCAGGTCGCCATCGGAACTTGCTCTTTCGTGTTCCTACAACCAACAGCGACATCAGCGAGCCGAACTTTGCGCAACCGCTTTGCGCCCGGCCAGATCAAAGCGATCGATGACGGAGAACGGCGCCGCGCAGACGGGTACAGCCCCGGATGGACAGCCGCGTAACGGTACAATGGAGAATGTCAAACTGAATATGGCGGAAGGCGACTCTTCCAGAATGGAGTCGGGCTCAAAGAATACTGCCTCACCACCGGTGAAAGCTGATAATAGCGCCGCGGGGACTCACTCTAGCCCCAAAAAGCGTCGCAAAGTTAATCATGGTAAGAAACTGTCCTGGTTATGCATCTTGCAAGGATTCTGGCAGCGGCCGCTCCCCGCGTTCGCATCTTAGACCACGTTGCTGACCACACTGCCAACGCTTTTGCAGCATGCGTCTACTGTCGACGATCGGTAAGCCCACATCTTACCTACTGACCCCGTACATTCTTGATCCGCCACGCTCTCCGGCGTCGCGACTCTCAATTGTCACTATACGGTCTACTTTCCGAGAATTCATTCGCTAACGGCAGGGTACTTCCTTATGTGGCACAGCATATGACTTGCGATTCGGTACGACCTTCCTGATCCATTTCCTTCAGCTTGCCTCAGTGAAAAAGTATCGCAGGCTTCGATTTTGGTGAAAGGTTCTTAGCTGACATTTTACGTGGATTAAATAAAGGAGCGGCCGTGCACGCGGTGTATAAAGCGCAACATAGGTCACTTGTGTCATGACGAACCCAGGGAGCCTTCAAAGCGGGCGCGGAGCGAACACGAACATTCAACTGCTGAAGAGGAGGGTCATTCGAACAATGAGTTTTCCAGTGTTCAAGGCATGCCTCGAAACGTTGATGTTCAAGATTCTGCTGGCCAGCAAATCCTTGCCGATGGAACTATCGCCCTTCCCCCTTCCTCTGTTAGTGCTGTGCAGCATAACAGCATCCCCTCCTCCTCTGCGCAAAACAGCATAGGCCCCAACTCCCAACAGCGTAAGTCCTAAGGCGGCTGCCTGTATTTTCTGACTGGTGCTAATGAGAGAACAGTGCTGGGCTACAACGACTGGCTCGGAGGACAAAGCCAATTCCAGGATATGCACACTTTCCACCCGTCGTACATGTTCAATGCGCCGGAAGTCACAAACGAATACAACCTTCTGGGAGACTTTCTCAGCAGCAGCCTTCTAGATGACGGGGGAATCTTCCCAAATGATAATCTACAGGGGATATACTCCGATCCAACGTTGATCAGTTCAATGGCCAATCTGGATAATACGGCCTTACTGCAGCAAGCTCAGCCCCCTCAGCCAACGCAAAGTCAACCGCCTCAGAACGATTCCGTTCAAGGTCCAAGCTCCACGGTGGTGAACGATAAGGCAAGAGAGACTTATTATATGACTGCGGCGGATCCTTCAGGTTCAGACCCACCGGAAGAGCGGATGAACAAGCTTCTCAAGGCGAAATACGATGCTGGTCTTCTGAAACCTTTTAACTATGTGAAAGGCTACGCTCGCTTGAACCAATACATGGAGAAGAACATGAAGCAGTCATCTCGCCAGAAGATTCTGCGGCAGCTGGACAAATTCCGACCCAAATTTAGGGAGAGAATGCAAAGCCTGACCGATATCGAACTCATTCTTGTGGAGATGTGGTTCGAACGAAGCCTGATGGAATATGACCGTGTCTTTGCTAGTATGGCGATTCCCGCCTGCTGCTGGAGGCGAACGGGGGAGATCTTCCGCGGCAACAAGGAGATGGCAGAACTTATTGGCGTGCCAATAGAGAGTCTGCGAGATGGCAAGCTGGCAATCCACGAGATCATTGTTGAGGATCAGCTCGTGAGCTACTGGGAGAAATTCGGCGCTATTGCGTTCGATAACACTCAAAAGGCGATGCTCACAAGCTGCACACTAAAGAATCCGAATTCGAGTAATCCCGGGAATGGGATTCAGTGTTGCTTCTCTTTCACAATTCGGAGGGACAATCATAATATGTGAGTGCTCAAGAACATCCGTTGCATGCCTGAGAATTTGCTGACAGTACACCCAGTCCTTCGCTCATTATTGGCAACTTCCTACCGTCACAACGAAGAAGCAAATGATTGTTATCTGAGTTTAAAATTTGGTCTATCTACGGGCGTATCTAGGGGAATTAGGCTTTGTTATTCGAACTATTCCGGTACATAGTTCTCGCGCTTGTCCTTTTCCTTACTTCTTTTATGGCTCTAGGGCAACTCCATATGAGTGCTACTAGAGAAACGTTGTTCGATATCCTTTCTGTGACGCTTGCACGGTTGTCAAAAAAAGAAGATGTTACATATCCTCCAAAGCTTTCGAGGAACCGAATTGTATTAATTGCGTGTCGGAGTGGTTATATATCTTATGCTCTCATGGCCTTGTGTCTTGACCTCTGACTATGGACTAGACCAGTCAGGTGAACGCCAGTTTGCTATGAAGTTGATAATATCACCCAGCAACTGCGGTCTTCCAGAAAACAGATTTCTACTCAGTATATACCGCCGGGCTCTTAGTAGAAGCGCTGCTTCTCATCATCCAAGTAGCACAGTCAAGTTCCAACCGTCCAACTACAGTAGCAACCGTTGTGATATGAGAACAATGACATCCAAGGATCTTGAAGAACGATCACTCAATGTCCTAGGTAAGTCGCAGTATAATCTGGCACCGTCCTCTCCATCCATGATCTCTAATTATTCATCGTCTCAGCGCTCGCTACACAAATACAAACGTGGCTCTCCAGTGCAAGACACCCTGAACAATCCCTGATGCTGGATACTTCGGTCGAACTCCTTGACAACTATCTCGGCGATATACCCTTGTTCCCAACGGCACTCTCATCAACCATACGTCGCCGGTTGGATACTGAAGGAACGAAGCTATGGAATACATGCACGCAACTAATGGCAGTGTCCGCTTCTGCCGACAGTTCAGCGCTGAGGCTACTGAGTAAAGGTTTTGACATCTTCACAACATGCTTCTTCTTCCGCAGCAGTTCTGACCCTTGTAGTGAAAGCTCTTGCTTTTGCAATGCTGGATTGTGCCACGTCTGCCCACAATCAAGGTATGAGTCCACCTACCTGAATAGGTGACCGTTTCTGAAGGCTGTCCCCAGGAAACAGCCGAAGCTTGGAGCTTGCTTTGAGAGCAGCACGTACTTGTATGGGTGAGTCTCATCTATCCCTTGCAAAGTTCCAGCTCTGATGATGGTATTCGATGCAGATCAAGCACTTTTGGATCTTAGCCAGAGCATCATCGGTGTAGCGGCTACTCGCTTAAATGATATGTCTAGAAACCAGAGCAACCGCTACAGAGCAAAAGTCGAAGCCTACATGACAGAATACTACATGCTGCGTGTCTACTTGGTAATGAGCAATTCACGCATGATATTCGTATCGCTGACTCTGATGACATAGTCCTGGCTGCAAGGTAGATCCGATATTGCAGAGCATTTATTCTCCAAGGTCCCGCAAGCGAGCCGAGGCGGACATCAAGAGACTGTTATGGATATCTGCTATCAAGTTGGGGCACAGGCAATCTCACGTCGGCAGCTCGATGTGGCAGCTCGATGGCTTGAAAGAGCTTTGAGCTCAAGCGAGCTTCTTCAGGAGGAAATCCAACAAGTCAGTTCGGACCTGAAGGATAAAAGGCTCCGGGTCTTGATCACTTTCGGTGAGTTGCCATGAGGCTATGGTACTTTTGAGTGAGCTGATGGCTTGCAGCCTGGGTCAGTCTTCAGCTCGACACGGCAGACGCAAAGCGTGGTCTTGACAGAGCAGTGGTGTGCTTGAAAAGTGTAAGTCGAAGAAAAATGTATCCTATCGCTGTTGACAATTTGCAGGAATATGATGATGCATTTGAAGCTCATGTTCTTCAACTCGAGATTCTTAGTAAGGAGAATGTTTCCGACTGCGATGAATATGCTGAAAGTGAGAAGATAACCGTATCCCGCTTGTGTCCCATCACTTATCCAGACTTTCAGTCCTTCGACGCGCCATTGCAGCTTTGAAGCTAAACGACGCTGACCTAAAGACGTACGTTTATTTTCTTAATTTGCATACTCATCGTCTAAAGGAGAAATAGTATCCTATACTTCATCCATAAGCTCAAGGAATCCAGGTAGGATCCCATGTACTGTTCTCTAGCATAGTGGTATTGACAAGGAAGACCCCAGTTATTCCTGGAAAGGATCAGACAGCTGTTGTGTGACAAGCTTGCTGTTTCAGACAAAAGAGGCTGGACAGAGCGCGTCTTCATCAGCCTTGTTTGGGCATTGACCGAATCTCATCCCTCTGCCCTCGGTTGCATAGCTGTATTGAAAGACGTGACTCAAAGTCTGTTTGAGTTTGAACGCCAGCATCTCAGCGAAGAGGCAACCAACGCTTGCTTGATTGTGAATCCATGTAGAACTGGCATACACTTGCAATTGCTGACTGTGGACGCAGCTGGTCTGGAAGCACATTGATGCAGCGATATCTATGGGAGACATGTCACACGCAGAGCGATGCTGTGAATTCCTGATCGAACAGCCTCTATTCCAAATATCCTCGGACAGTAAAGGCAAAATTCTAAGGTAGGCATTCTGGTGGCCCGGGAGCGTCCTCTGCAGGAGATTACTCAATCTGGTCCTAACAGGAAGCTGATCTCCTGCTCCCGAGGCGATTCAAGCGCACTTGAGGCGCATAAAGCCATTGTTAGACACCTCGAAGAATGCAAAGCCTCAGCATCTACGCTGTACATGCTGTATGGTGTAGCTTTACGAGATGATGACTATAGTCTTGGTATGTCTGCGGAGTGTTCTTTATCAAATATCTAACCGAACTCCAGGGCAAACATGTCTTAGGTCGTTGAGCGAGCTAGGGCAGCAGGGAAAGATATATCTCTCTTCATGTGTTGCAGAGGCTCGACGCTCAGGAAATACCCGATTTACCACCGAATGTCTTCAGCAGCTTATAGCAGGCATGGATGACGATTCGTTTGGAGCAACATCCGTCTCAACACTGTTCCAGTATGTCTTGCCCGTGTCTGACAAATGGTCACTGAGCTGATTCATTGTATAATATTGCTTGCTCAACTATTGAACTCAGAGGACCGCGACAATGCAGCTTCAATAGCCCATCTCATATCCACATTTGAGGAAGGTCAGCTTCAGCGCAATCCAGAGGAAGTCGAATACTAAGCCGAATCAGCCTTGAAAAGTGCGGACAACGAAGGCAGAGTGCCACTCTGCTCAGCCAGTGAATTAGAATGGTTTGCGAAGAAGAGCTACAACATAGCCCTTGACATACATAGAACATCCCCTTCGGAGCCTGTCCTACGGCTCTTAGGCATATCCCTCAAGGTAACCTCAACATGGAGAACAATGCTATATCCTCTAACACCGGCACAGTTCACAGACTTATACCATAAAATGACTGGAGCCAAAGACCGAGCCTTCATGTATCTCCTTGGCGAGTACGTCAGATCCAATGTATTGATATCCGAAGCCCGTGGCCATACTCCCTCTTCTGCGAAGGTCATTATTTCAAGCCATCTGCTTGAGATACAGCGGACTGACAACGCCTAGGCCTATAAGGAAATCCGCCAATCCGTCCAGCGCTTCGAAACACACATTCAAGCTCAACTTGATACATGCAACACCTTACCCGAACGGGAGGCATGGATGCATAAGCACCGCTTCCTGATCGCCCTGGACTTCGAGGCAGCGATCAATCTCAAGCAATGGAACGAAATCCCGGACATAATCGAGAGAGCCAACAAGATCCTCGACGACCACCTCTGTTCAGTATTCCTAGACCGCATCCTCCGCTCTGGGGCATCAGCTCCCAACATCGCACAGGTCGTCAAGGTGAAGCAACCTCGTCCGGTGTTAACAGTAAATCTAACAAAGGCACAGGATATAATATGCATCTTCCACTCCTCGCCGTCCCCGTCCTTCAGTGCTGGGGCCTTTCACCAGAAACTCCCCCGGTATCTACGGTGCCTGTTTCAAATAGCCGTAGAGGCGAAAGACTACTCGTTGGCAGAGCCAGTCCTTCAGCAAGCTATCGACCTATCTCGCGATGGCTCAGCAGACACAGACTTGCCGTTTGAATATCCGAGCGACGAGCTTAAATGGCTGGCAACCATGGCTTTTAATAGAGCGGTCGATTTATATCTTGCCTCAGCTGATGAGGACTGTCGAAAATGGGGAGAGATTGCGTTTACACTGGCTGGTTTCGTAAAGGATGATGGTGGTGCGCTGTTAAGAATGCTGCGGCAAAACTACGCCAAACTTATGTGAGTTACGGGTTGAGGTTTACTCGCTTATATATTACGCTACGGGAGTCTTCACAATTTGATTGTATACTCAGGCTTGAAGGGGTTCGCAGAAAGGCCGGACCACAGAGGCCCGTTATGAAATTCTTCGTTGGAAATTGCTCCCGGTGTCTGTCTGATTGACCACATATCCATAAATAAGATGCAAAAGATTGTGATAAATCCAACCTCAAACTCCATCGAGCTTTGCCCGTAGCTGACGGCAAGACCGAAAAATGAATCACAGCATTGTGCAATGGGCAGAAAGGGTGATATGCCATGTCGAACAAAACTTTGCGATTGACCCAGAATAGGAGTGCTGGCGAAGGTGAAAGAAATAAAGAGGATGAATGAATGCATGAGAAATGCAAGACACTGGAACCAACCAATCCGCTATTCACCAGGATTTTCACCATTATCATTAGAACGTACGATTCTCGAGCCCTGATAAGCGCCGTTTTGGCGCAAACTTGAAGCCGAGTGCATTCGATGTGGACTTTGCAGGGAATTCTGTTTCCTGTCATTTTCCTTTCCGCTGCTGTCCGTCTCGATCTCGACATTTCCACAAGTTTTAGGTCGAGCAGCCAGGACTCGAAGTGTTAGGTCCAGTTCTCGCTCCAGTTCCTTCTGGGAGTGGAGAGGCTCTGTGGAGGTATGCAGCTTTTTCCTGTAAGCCTTCAATGTGCGGCAAACCTGGTCCGTAGATGAATTTAGACTTCCAGATTCTGTCTTTGACAAGATTCTGCCACGGGAGCGGAAGTCCAGTGATATGCGGCGAGCATGATTATTTGTGTTGCTGAGCTTTTTACCAGGTGTTGACCTTCTGGTTGGGGATGGTGACTTGCGCAACTTCTGAAGCCGAGAGTGCGAAGGGGGAGAGCGACGGTCAGACCTTGAGAAAGGCGAAGGCGTAGCCGGTGCCGATTTTTCATTCTTCAAGGAAGAGGGTGTGAGAGAGATTTTGGAAATTTTGCGAGCCAGGGACTGTGAGGAGTCCCGTACAGGAGTTGGGGTTCCTGTGATGTTGTCTTGCCGCTGGAATCCAGCAAGCTCGTGTTTGGATAAAATCTTGCGCAGAGGCGGCTTGGAGACCGTCGGATTTTTCGAGACACTGTAGATTTCTTCCTCTGATAGATTGTTTTGGGTATAATCCTGAGATTGCTGTGGTTGCACCAGTAAATCCCATATCATGACGACACCGTCAATACCAGCGCTAACCAGTGTTCGACTAGGAGGTTTCCCGGTGCAGTCAGAATCTCTGGTCAGCAAGCATACATCGCTCACGCCTTCAGCATGGCCGAACTCGGCAGTAAGAAGCGCTTCGCGTTCCATGTCGTACACGCGAATTGATTTATCCGTGCTTGCGACTCCGATAAGCAACGTGGGACTTTCCCCTGGAATGTGGGAAGCCATGCTCAGAGCAGTCATGACCACTGTGTCGCTTGAATCTAAATCGGTGGCTCGGAAAGAGTGAATGTGCTTCCCTGAGTCGAGGTCATACTGTTGTATACAACGATCAACAGTGGATATGATTAGAATATTTGGGTCTTCTGTAGATAGAGTCATGGAAACTGGAGATGCCTTAAGCGTAACAGCCCTGGATGCCAGATACGCAACGGCTGTTTCTCCGCTGGTTTCTCGAGTCATGCGTTCTCGAATGAAAACTGTGCGATCTGAGGAGCACGAGAGAAGCTTCTCGCCATTCTTGACGAAAAGTAACTGATTCACTGACCCGACGTGATCATCCATGGTCTGCACAAGTTCCAGGCTTTCTTCAGTGCTACGGAAAAGCTGAACCATGCGATCTCGACCAGAGCTGGCAATGAGACAGGATTCGGAGTCTAAGTGAAGAGCCACATCTGTGATCTCTGCCTCGTGAGCCCGAATCTGATTGACACATTTCCACGACTGTCCCGAAAGGACCCTAAGCTCAAGGTCAATGTTTCACTTCCCTATGCTGTCTGTTTCAATGGCAGGAGTGTTGAATACCTCAAAACACCCATTTTATCTCCCGACACGAACAACTTCAAATCTTGAGTCGCCCTCAAGATTTTCAACTCGTTTGTTTGACTTTCATCACTGACCAGAGGCTGCTCTACCGTGACTGTCCTAGAGACCTTACACCTGCCTTTTGTATCCCAAAAATTCACGGTCCCGTTGGACGACCACGTGAAAAAGTTTGCTTGGAGTTCGTTGAGATCTGGCAACGGAGAAATGCCGAGGACCGCATCTCTATGAGCGGCAATCGCAAGTGGTCTCTCACAATCGTTACTTATTGGCTCTACCCGATGGATCTGGATTTCTTTGTTGGAATTGACGGTCACTAGATGTGATCTGAGGGATCCCATACAAGTGATCGCAGGTCCCTTGACCTTTTTACTCGCTGAGATTCGACCAGAAGACTCTGGCGAAATTGGGCTCGTCGGCCGGAGTGACTCCAATGAGAACCTCTGCATCCTCTTTTCCCGACCACCGACCCAAAGGTAACCATGATCCGGATCAATGGTCAAAGAGGTGATGCCGAATCCCACGTACTTGATCAGGGATAGTCTTGGAGATACCTCACTGTCGTCCAGGAGGCAGAGAGCACCGTCCTCGGTTCCTACTACAGCTTCACTGTCTGATATGCCTGCGACACAGGTGAATACGCAAGTCCCAAAAGGCCCGAGGAGACAGTTTCGTCCCGAAAGCGCTTTCGGGGCCAGGCTGGGGGAGCTAATGGCCGGATCCGCATTCAGGCGGGACTTTGATGGCGATACAGGTCTTGCTTCCGGGAGGCGCCATACCTTCACATGTCGAACGCCAACGCTGCCACCTTAGTTAGTCTTGCTGCCGGTAACGATCAGGGATTGAGCCCAACAACGTACGTGACAAGGCTCTGTCCCGTCCAGCCCATGTGGCGAACAATGTTGATGCACTTATTGGTCGAATGTAGCCTAGCCGATCCGGACTTCAGACTTACAGCCCACACGAAGAGGAAACCGTCGTTCACCTCTCCGAGGGTGGCGAGGTACTGGGAGTTAGGGCTGAAGGAGAGGCTGCGAACGCCGACGGTGTGCTCGGTCAGAATCGACAGGGGAACCTCCGGGGACGCGTCTTTCGCCGTAGAGAAGATCAAGACTCGGGGGTTATATCCAGTCTGTTTTCAGATTAGCGGACTAGCCACGCTCTTCAATTGTGCAGAGAAAACGAATGGGCTACCCACCTCTCCTACGGCAAGGAATCTTCCATTTGGGCTGATTGACACACTAGTAACCGCCTTTATCCTTTCCCTCGATGACCAGGATCGCGGGCTGTTAGTCTCGGCGAGGTCACTGGACGGAGATCCATTGTGGGTGTTACTGTGTGCATTTGCTCTGATGTTGGATATCGATTTTGCTCTCGTATCAGGCGTCGATGGAGGCGTGGATTGGTTGTAGAAAGATGTAACGGGATTGATGCTGCTCGCGGAGGGTCGTGCTTTGAAAAAGCGCTGGTTTACATTGTTTTCATCATCCAGCTCTGCGAGGATGGCCGCCGAACCGGCGCATAGCGCAAACGATCTGCTTTGGTCGTGGCTTGAGAAGCCATTCGGGTCCGTCGCAGTCGTGCCGATAACCGTCCGGAGGGAAAGGGTGGATTGGTGCAAGGAGGTCTTGTTAGGGGACCGGGGAGCTCTCAGACCAGGCGAATTGGAAGGTGTGATGCGTAGGGAAGAACCCGGGCCAGCATTCTTGCTTTTGACTGTCAATGAACCACTCGCCATCCCATTTAAATCCGAATTCAGATTGCGAATATTCACGTTCCCCCAAGGGTGCTAGAAAGCCCGTTTGCATTTGTCGTGACGCTGGGATCGCCTGTCAAAGCTACTGTCAACGGAATCATCCAACAGATACACCCTTATCAGCCGTGCTCGTAAGCGAATTCCGATAACGATCGAGAAAAGCGATGGTCTGCGGAGGGTCAAATTGCGTTAGAATGGGATATAGCCAAAGAGCGTCTCGCGATCACCGCCGTTTCGAGTTCAGCTGAACGAAGAGTGGTGGAAAAGAATGAACGAGAGTGATCGGAAGGTCGAGAAAGAAGCGTGGGCCCAGAGAATGGAAAAAACAATTACAATGCGTATTCAAAGGAGTGACACAGACAAAGAGATAAGTATGAGGAGAAAAAGAAAGGGTTCAGTGATAGGGATAAAGCAGGAGTAAATACGCCCGTCCACACAGTGCGCACACACTGTCAAGGAGGGGAGCTCCAGCTCGAGCTCAGCAGCAGCAGCACATTCCAGTGATCCCTCTCAGCAGAGAATGGATGGGCGAATGGGAATGTGGATATGACACAGTGACAAGCAGTTTCCCAAGCCCTGGCCTTGGAAGACTGACATCTCATATTCTCATAGAACTTTCAGTCCTGAAGCTGGTTCCTTCGGGCAAAATAGTTTGTATTCTAAACCTGAAAGTAGACTAGGTTGGTTCTAAAGCTCTATAGATTCGTAGATTGGCGCGGGAACCATCAAGATAGCTGCGCTGATCTACACTAAACTAATCTGAGCCGTGGAAATGAGCTCTCCTTGCTTGACTTTCATTGTCAATTGAGAGTTGATGGAGACTCTGGTCTAGGGGTCAGAGGGATTACAAAATTATTGGAATCTATGTACATCTAAGGTAGAGATTCTCAATCTCACACGTTACCCACTGGCATAAAATTCAATTTTCCAGTGACCCCGGACTTTCACAGCGAATGATAATGCTGCCATCAAGACAAGGTTAGCATTAAGGCTCTCCATAAGCCTGAGGCTTCCAGGGTTCCAAGCCTAAAACAGCCCAACGCCTGCACCTTAGGTATCTACCGCCTTGACCCCGGCCCCTAGGCGTTTGACAGTAATCAAAGCATTGAGCTTCACACAAGAATAGTTAAACAATTATAGCATATATACACAAGAACGCTTCTAGCAATTAGCAGCATGTTTACTTCTACTTTTCAAATGCGCTAGTGCTGGCCTGCATCAGACTTTTCGTCTACTCTGTGGAGGCATACACTCGCTGTACAGTCACATGATGTTGTTATTGCCTCAGGCCACAATAGTATTTGTTCTAGGCCGTTTCGAGAAGCAAATCTGAATTTCAATCGATCAAAGGATTCCTTGCTGCTCCATTCGAACAACAATCTTCTCTTGCCAGGTTTCTTTGATGTCTGCCTATTTTTCTTGAGAATACTTTGGGAACAAGTCCTTGATATGGCAAACAGTATGTGCCTCGCGTCCTCAAGACTCAGTCTTCCTACCCTGTTGCGAAATGTCTTTCGCTCTGAGTTCGCCGCCGATCTTGGACCTCGTTCTGAGTACAAAAGTCTCCTCACCGTGCAACGACCACACTTGGCCTATCGCAGGATCAGAGGGGCTCGACAGTTCAGCTCGCTGACTCTGGCCGACCATATACCTACTTCATCCAAACAACCATATACGCCTTCAAGCGCTGCAAATGGTAGCAGTGTGCCACAACCGGACGAACCAGCCAAGTCTGGCGCCGGCGAAATAACAGCATCAGGCGATCCGTCTGAGATTGTCGACTCTTCGCCTCGCGCCGATTCTGCGAAAAATAAGAAAGCGTCTGCATCAGAAGAAACGGTCGGTCCAAAGCCAGCTGCAAACAAGTCCTCGGATGATAAGAAACGCTCACAAGCCCCTCGAACATCCGGTCTTTCTGTCCTCTCCAAGTCGAAGAAAAAGAAAGAGCCGTGGCAAGTTCAAAAGGATGCTCTGAAGAAGAAATTCAAGGAGGGCTGGAATCCGCCGAAGAAGCTATCGCCCGACGCGCTGGAAGGGATTCGTCACCTACACGCTGTTGCACCGGATCGATTCACCACTCCTGTGCTAGCTGAGCAGTTTCAGGTCTCTCCGGAAGCAATCAGACGGATCTTGAAGAGCAAATGGCGGCCTTCGCCTGAAGAAACGGAAAAAAGACGGGAGCGGTGGGAAAGAAGACACGATCGCATTTGGAGTCAGATGTCTGAGCTGGGTCTCAGGCCTCCAAAGCGCCGCGCAGATAAATTCTCGGACGCCAAGGTGTTGTATGATAAACCTCTGTGAGGGCTATGTCTACCGTGTTCGAAGCGTTCTGCTTGAGACTCTATTTCGTCGATCTCTAGTATGTATTATAGTGTACCATATATCCTAATAATAGAAGCACCCTGCATTAAATTCTCCTGGCTTCCGTGATTGTTATTAGTTGCAGAAGCTCAAAGTTTCTCCGGCTTCAGGAATTGCGAAGATGAATAGTAAAATGAATCGAGGATTCTTCAATTGTAATTGAGAGACACGAGACAATATGCTTCTACGCGCAGTTCTCCAATAATTTAATGTTTAGAGCGCTCTGGAGGACCAGATGCAAACACCATGGTAGCTGAGCGGTAGCGCCACGCAGTCCGAGGCGTCTTCCTCGTCAATGGAACCATGCACGTTAGTGACCAACCGACTGCTCCCCGATCAGAGCGCATCCGGCTCTTAATCTGCCCTCTGACCATACGACCATAGAAAAATGGCCAGCTTCGTTTAGCATATGACAGCATGTCGATGCTGGAGTATGCATGAGACTACCTCCGAGAATTCCAAAACAGTGGTAGCTGGTACCCGCTGTCACTCCCCCGACTCCTATATCCCTCCACCTCTTCCTCCCGCCGCCCACATGGTGACGCTGCGACCCTCGCCATGCAATCGGACATACAGGTCTTTGTGAAGTGGAAAGACCAGACTATATTTGCAGGGGAAGATGTGGAATGTATAATCACCTTCAAGAACGTGACAGAGACAGACGTGGAGACAAACAATGGAGGGCAGGTTTCCCATCAGCGAAAGCAGTCTCGCGCTCGCAATGCGCAGGCCTCTAACTCCGAGTCCTACTTCTCTTTGAAACCTCCTCAAAATTCATTGTTTAGTCCTCACCGCCGCTCCTTTCCCGTTGCGCCCAGGAAGAGTCCTTCGCATCGAATATCCTCGTCGTTGAGCTCCCCGTTGATCGGCTCGCACAGCTTTCCCCCCCCAACCCCGCGAAATAACCAAAACCCCGGGCACGAGCACAAGCGCTCCGTGTCTATACTGTCAATTGAAAGTGAAGGAACTGGGGATAAAACCCCGAGGTCGTCGGTCCAGTTTAATCGTTCCAGGCCGGGGAAGGGCCATGGTCGTTCTGCGAGCTTGCAAGTCGTACCTAGAAGGTATGAGGGGTATGAAGATGGCTTTGCAAAAGGTGAGGCTCGTGCTACATCCCTGACTTGACGATCAATGACACTCATGTATTCCGTTACTTAGCTGGGCGAAATACCGTCCGCGGGATTTCCTCCGAGGCTGGCGGCAACCAATTCCTGGGTAATCTGAGGCCAGACGTGGATGGGCCCAGCAGAGTTAATCGCTCTGGATCCAACGGGCAGAGACCCATTCAGCCTTTAGGATCCCCTCGTACACCTGGACGCAACCATCAACTGCCGCCTATGGATTTCAAATTCCCGCCTGCTCCCACATCCGATCCTAGCAATCGCCCGGCCCTGTCTCCTGCGGCAACATCTAGTGATGAGAATACCGGCTCTGTGTCGACAGGACGATCAAATGGGAAAGAAAGTCCAGCAATGCCTCCACCCGGCCACCTACCCCAGCTTACACGAATACTCTCTACATCCAGCCTGAGTGGAAGTCATAGAAGCAGCGGCGAGTTCTACTCCGCCAGCGACAACTCCTCAGAGACTCTTCAATCTGAATACACGAATTACTCTGCAAATACACAACGGCCGAGTGCTCCCCGTCACGCACGTCATTTTTCGAGTGTGGATACGGGACCGAGACTACCCAACGGCCAAACCCTCCTCATGGGCTATGCCCAAGTCAGCGCATCCTTTACCGTCGATGGCTCATTAATCAATCAAGCGGCGTTTGAAGAAGTCAAACGAAAAGGGGTGGTTGGCAGCCAGGGAAATGCAGCTGGTATGCGAAGTGGTGGATCCGCATCAATCAGCGACAAAAGCCGTAAAAGTGGTGGGTTCTGGGGTGCTTTCAAGTGGAATGCGATAGAGGAGTCCATAAGCGGTCTTCTATCCAACAATGAACTCGATGGTCTTCGTGATATGCGTGGCGTTACTTCGTCACGATCGATACCTTTGTTATCCACTCCACAGTCTCTTCTTTTTGTGGATCTGCGACTGGCACCAGGAGAAGAACAATCGTATTCTTTCTCTTTCACTCTTCCCAAGGGACTTCCTGCAAGCCATAAGGGCAAAGCTATCAAGATATCATATAATCTAGTCATAGGTACTCAAAGGCCGAGTGGGTCTAACGAACCTCAGCGCGTGAATCGCATCACTATCCCCTTCCGTGTCTTCAGCGGAGTGAACAGTAAGTCCTATCGGTCGTCCTCCTTACTTGACACCTGTCACTAATTTTTCTTAGGTCAAGGAGAGATCCTTGGTCATAACCTGATGAGCCCTTATGTACTTCTTCGAGACGAAGCCAGGGTCCAGAAAATAAGCTCTACCCCCCCGCCAGTGTCTAAGAATAAGAGCATTAGCGGGCATGTATGGACGTCAGCACCAGAATTTCTTTCCTATGTAGATGAACTCCTCGAGCAACAATCTCGCAAAAATCTACTGCAACCACCAGATCTTGTCAATGCAAGACGCTCCTCAAGTTATGAACCGTTGGCCGGCCCGCTTTCCTGCAAAGACGCAATTGACTTGGCCATCCTTCGAAGCAATCAAGCAATAAGCACGGCGCGCAGCCCCAACCGGTTTGAAATTGCCCGCAATGGGCGCCGCATCGCTGTGGTGGTGCTCAACCGGCCGGCACATCGATTGGGGGAAACAATCACCGCCACGGTGAATTTCACAGATGTCGCACTTCCATGCTACGCTCTGCGGGCCACACTGGAGTCGTTTGAGAAGGTGGCAGCCTCACTGGCAGTTCGGTCAAACGCTAGCATCCACCGAGCCACACGGCGAGTGCATGCATCCTTCTTCGAGAATACGCTTTATTCCACACGAGTTGTTTTCAGTCCTGCAGTTCCCGTATCCGCAACGCCGACTATCATCACCACCGGAGTCAACCATGAATGGGAGTTACGGTTCGAGTTTGTGACTACCAACTTACACCATGAGCTGAGTTCAGGGCTCTCCGGTGCTAGGCTGCTTGAAGTGGTTTCCGAGGACGACCGTGGGCAGGTTATGTCAGGCCTGGAGAATCTCGGTTGTGAGTCCTTTGAGATCGCAATCCCCGTCACGGTATACGGAGAGACTGTTCGGGAGAGGCTCCCGGAAGAAAACGAGGGTTATTCTATTTAGAGGTATATGTACTTCTTGCATGAGCGTTGATCATACCCCATAGCGCTTCGAATGAATCGGATTATTTTCCCCATGGTCTTCTCGTGAGACTCGTGTAGAGCAGCGCTCACCAACATGATATAATCTCATAAATCCTTTAACCCTCAAGCGTAGCTAAATCAGTATCTGATAAACTACACCTACTAGATAATCGAGTCTGACATCACAGAGAAGTGAAGTCTTTGGATGACAGTGGTCACTGGGGCAACCAATGGGGCCTTCCGTCTTGCTCCCTTGAGGCATCCATGGATCCCGACCGTCAGACTGCTCCGCTTGTGGGATCCATCGGATTTCCTGCTTGTGGCCAGCTGAAGGCCAGGTCCAGGTCTACTCGTCATATCGTCAAGTTTAAGCTTGCTTGTTGATCATCGCGTTTCCTGCAGCTAATCTGTTTGTTTGCTTTTTTATTTTTCTTCATCGTCCACATCGGAGATATAGCATCCCCCTTGTGCCTGAGTGCCTTCTGAAACGCGACTTTATTTTCTCGCGTTTTGCCCCTCCTCTCAGCCGACCGTCCAGAAATTCCCAAGCATTAGCCTTCGTCGTTCTTCCGGTTAGTGAGATCGAGGTTCCAGAGATCAGAAACACCCCATACGGATTGATAGCTGACCCTCTGGCATTGGAATGTAGGCGCATTTCGCACTCAGCAACGCATCCGCAGATCAGTCACATTTTAAGACTTACAGTCCATACCTCCGAAACGGGAAAAATCAAAAGAAACGCCGTTGTCCTCTTATAGCGAATACCTCCAGAGAGGTGTCGAGGTCACAGAGCGGAGATAGGATGGCTTCACTTATCACCACCATGTTCGTGCCCTTTAGACCCTTTATTCCCTCTGCTTCTACTTCTTCCTCATCTACTTCTCCGTCTGCACCGCCGTCACACCAACTCTCCGCCCTCACCCCGTCAATCTCATGCAGCACTATCCATACTTTCCGTGGTCCGCTTTCGGAGCCACCTTCTTACCTGTCTCCTGCTGTTCGCGCGCTCAAGCAGAATCTGTGTGGACTGACACCTCCCAGCAATGCGCGAACCAGGGCGCCGTTTAAGCCCCGGTCGGCTGCCAAGGGCACGAGCAGTTATCAGCTGAGGCAGTTTGCAGAGGCGACTTTGGGGAGCGGGAGTTTGAGGAAGGCTGTGAAGCTCCCTGAGGGCGAGGATCTGAATGAGTGGCTTGCAGTCAATGGTGAGTCTACTGGAGGGATTGTTGCGGTGCCCTGAGTGTGTCTTGGAAATAGCTAATTAGGTGGATTTTCGCATTAGTGGTCGACTTTTACAATCAGATCAACCTCCTCTACGGTGCCATCACGGAGTTCTGCTCCCCGCAGTCATGTCCGGAGATGAAAGCCACCGATGAGTAGGTCCTCTCACTTCAGTAACAAATGGGAAGCTTGCAGCTGACCAAGGTTGATGCGACAGGTTCGAGTATCTCTGGCAAGACTCGGAGAATTTCAAGCGACCGACCAAGATGTCCGCGCCGGAGTACATCGAACATCTGATKACCTGGGTCCAGAGTAATATCGACAACGAACAGATGTTCCCAAGCAGGCTTGGTATGACACCATTTTTGGACTTCATTTCAAGAACAAAGATGGGGCAGGCTGACGAGTATAACAGGAGTCCCTTTCCCCAAAGCATTCTCAAGTTTGATTCGCCAGATCTTCAAGCGACTTTATCGCGTGTATGCGCACATCTACTGCCACCACTACCCCGTGGTTGTGCACTTGGGACTCGAGCCCCATCTCAATACCAGTTTCAAACACTATGTTCTATTCGTTGATGAACATCGGCTGGCGACCGGCAAGGATTATTGGGGTCCACTTGGAGATCTCGTCGACAGCATGTTGCGGAGTGACTGATTTCTATTCTCGGAATGCGATTGATGATTGATGACTGGGTCGGAATACTCCTCGGTCGGAGGCAGGTCGAGGAAATATTGGCGTTAGGGTGTTTGCATTTCTTTCAGATCCATTTCCTAGAGTGGCAGAGACAATTCTGTCCTTGATACATCTTTTAGTGAGAGAGATTCTTCAATGTAAGAGTATGCATTAGTATTGAAGTAAACCAATTCTGTCAGCATGTTCTTTGCACTTGTCTTCAAGTTCGCTCATTTCATGCTGTAGGAGGGATGGCTATCACTAAGAGAACCCGAAATTCTCGGCGTGTGCGGAAACTCACGTGACCGGAACCGGGAGAAGTTGGACGTCGCTTCAACTTCGTGAGACTCTCCAGCAGCAGACCTACGGCCATTGCACCCCTCTAAACGACGTTCCCACGTCCTATATCCTTCCACTCTCCCTCCCCCCGAGGTCTTCTCACATTACCGCCACGATGAACACCGCTCGTGTCGCCCGTCTTGGCCTGCGTGCCACCCAGCAGTTCTCCGTCCCTCGCACTGCCGCTCTCAACGGTTTGAGGACTTATGCTACCCCGGCTCAGAACGTCAAGCCCCCCGTGGCTCTCTTCGGCGTTGATGGTACCTATGCCACTGCTCTGGTACGACTTGCATTTCTCTCTGGATGCCCCTTCGATGCTCTGCGGATTGGGTCATAGTCTGCGTTTTTTCCGCTCCTTTGACCCGAATCACCCCTCTCCGCCTGCAAATCGCGTCAAAATCCATATCGTTCATCCAGGAATCATTAGAGGGCATTGAATTCGAACTAACAGCTAAATCAATAGTACACTGCCTCTGCCAAGTCCTCCGCTCTCGACCAGACCTCCAAGGCTCTTTCTAGCCTCGCTCAGACCTTCAAGGCCGACCGCAAGCTGACCGACATCATCGCTGCCCCCACCCTGTCCGCCAGCGACAAGCAGCAGATTGTCCAGGAGCTCCAGAAGATCGCCGGTAGCGACAAGGGCGACATCCTCAAGAACTTCCTGCAGACTCTGGCTGAGAACAACCGTCTCGGCCTCCTTGAGGGCATCTGCGAGAAGTTCGAGACCCTGATGGGTGCTCACCGTGGTGAGATGGAGGTTACCATCACCAGTGCCCAGGTGCGTTTTGGCTATTGCTTTACGATCCCACCGGATTTGTCGCTCACTTTAGCTTCTCTCGCAGGAACTCGACAACAAGACCATCAACCGCCTTGAGAAGGCCGTTTCCAAGCACGAGCTCAGCCAGGGCAAGAAGCTCAAGATCGTTACTAAGGTACGCCTATCACTCTCTCCCCTCACTCATGACCGGCTGGCTGATGTCTGTGTAACAGGTCAACCCCGACATCGTCGGCGGCCTCGTCCTGGAGATCGGCGACCGCACCATCGACCTCAGCGTCTCGTCCAAGATCGCCAAGCTCAACAAGGCCCTTACCGATGTTCTGTAGATTATAAAATAGGCTAGAATTTGATTTTCCCTTTGACATGTATCGTACAGTCCCATAGTCGTGCGTCGTCCGCGCGGCTTCCAAGAGACAATCCTCGAGTTCTGGAAAGCAATGAATGGACAGGATGACAGTTCGTTTCCACTTTGATATTCACATTTCATCTTTTGTTCTATTTTATAGTGTGCGAGCATGAGGGGAAGGGCGTGATGTGGATGAGGTAGTGAGAATATGTAGATATCTATGCTATGCCTCGTGTCTTGATAGATGACCGTTGAGTGGCCATTCTCAAGGGTTGATATATCCGATAGCATATCTAAATAAGGAATATAGCACGTATCGAACCGCCCCGGTATCCATGTCCTGGTATGTAACCCAGCGGTTTCTTTGCCGAAAAGCAAGAAATTCCCTATTAAGAAACAAATATAGGAATGAGATATAGATATGGAGAGAAGAGACTCGAACAATCTCTGTCTGAGCACACCGATAACGGATCCTTCTTGGTTTACAAGTATGTCAATTCAATCAAAAAAGGTATGCAATGCAATTCTATCTCATTAGATCAACTATGTATAACGATATAACGCAGTGTCAACATGCGCATGCACTTCGATTTTACCGGAACCCACTTCTTACAACGGTGCGTCACCACATAGGAAGTCTAGTGACCGTTCGGAGTGCGGTCAGCCTGCGCCTCGAACTCGTCGTCGTAAGCCGCGATGGATGCAGAACTTCTCACGCGCTGCAGCTGGCTCGCAACGTAATTGGAGACGTGCTCGTCCAATCCGTTGCGGGGGACTCCGCGGTCATGCTCGTCTTCGGACAGGATCTCGGCGGCGGGGGTCTCGGCGCCGGTGAAGGCTGATTCGAAGTCGCTGCGGTTGCCGATGGAGCGGGTGGTCGAGGAGCGCCGGAAGCTGGGCTTGCGGCTGGAACGGGGCCGGCCTGAGCGGGTGAAGATGTCGTCGAAGTAGTGCGATGCGGCCGCGAAGGGGGAGCGGGGGGTGTGTGGGAGGCGGCAGTTGACTCTGCAGAGAAGGTTAGCGGTGTGGGGATGGAGTGTCAGGCTCTCGAAGATAAACTTACCCGGTATCGTGGATGACCTTGGCGATGAGACCTGTCCATCCGCATTGGTGGGACGCCCCCAGTCCGCGTCCGGTGTCACCATCGAAGAACTCGTGGAACCACATGTAGTCCTTCCAGTGCTCATCGTAATCGAGGAGATCTGAGCCATCGTTGACAGCTCGGCGACCTTGGTCATTGCGAGCGAAGAGGTGCTGCAGACGATGCTGAATCTCCTCGGCAACGTGGCCCAAATGCATGTAGTCTCCAGAGCCTGTGGGACATTCCACCTGGAAAGAATCCCCATAAAACATGTAGAACCGGAGAAGGGATTCAACAAGCAAGAAGTTGACACACAGCCAGACGGGTCCGCGCCAGTTGCTGTTTCCTCCGAACAATCCACTGTCGGAATCGCCTGGGACATAGCCGACTCTGAATGTCTGGCCATTGACGTCCATGGAATACGGGTGCTTCTCATGGTACTTGGACATAGACCGGATACCGTGCTCCGACAAGAACTCGGTTTCGTCCAGCATCCTCTTGAGAATCTTCTCCAGACGATCCTTACTTACCAGTGACAGAAGGAGTCGGTCGTCCTTCCCGCGCCGTTTCATGCTGGCAATGTTTCTTTCTGCAACATCCTGCCTGTTTTCAATGAACCAGTCCATTCTCCTCTTGAATGAAGGGAACTTGTTAATCAGCTCAGGTTCGAGCGTGAGAACCGCATACAGAGGAATCAAGCCCACCAGCGACCTCACAGGAAGCTGTTGTGTCCATGGCTCGCCGTAAGAAATCGCGTCGTAGTAAAAACTGAGAAGGATCAGCTACTAGCCCGCCCCTCGTGACTATTGCATTACACATACCCGTCGTCTTCGTTCCACAGAGAGGATTCCTTGCCACCTGACTTGAAAGTCATAGCATCACTAATGAGAAGGAAGTGCTCGAAAAATTTGGACGCAACTAGCTTCAGTTAGTGAGAAGTCCATAACCTAGTACAACGTTGACTCACTGTCTTCGTAGGTTCGGCGATGCTTAGCCAGTTCAAGAGCTATATTGAGCATGCATAGACAATAGAAGGCCATCCAGCCGGTACTGTCCGCCTGTTCCAAGACACCTCCAGTTGGAAGAGGCTCAGAACGGTTGAACAGTCCAATGTTATCCAGGCCCAGGAAACCGCCCTCGAAAACATTTTTGCCTTCTGAGTCCTTGCGGTTGACCCACCAGGTAAAGTTCAGCAACAGCTTCTGGAAAACGCGCTCCAGGAAGTCAAGGTCCTGCCGGCCGTACATTTTTCGTTCAATCTTGAACGTTCTGAAGACAGCCCATGCATGCACAGGAGGGTTAACATCTCCAAAGTTCCATTCATAAGCCGCGAGCTGGCCATTCGGGTGCATGTACCATTCACGAGTAAGGAGGTCCAGCTGCTTCTTCGCAAAGTCCGGATCGATCATGGCCAGTGGAATGCAGTGGAAAGCTGTATCCCAAGCAGCGAAAAAAGGATATTCCCAAGAGTCCGGCATAGACAAGATGTCATCAATGTATAGATGCTTCCATTGCTGATTGCGCACATGCTTCCTTCCCGGGGGCGGTGGTATCATTCCAGGGTCTCCGTTCGCCCATTGGTCCCAAACGAAGTGGTAAAATTGTTTCGTCCACATCATTCCCGCAAATGCCTGTCTTTGGATATTACGCAGATCGTCACTCATTGGAAGAGGGCTGATTCGATAGTAGAAGTCGTCAGCTTCTGCCCTTCGCTGCTCGATTGTATCATCCAGCACTTCTTCGTCGATGAATTGCTCGTTCTTGCGGGAGAACCTGAAGCGGACGACTGCGCACTCGCCTGGAGGGATGCCGTCTCCCTCGTCAAAGGCATACCAAGCGGCGAACTTTGTTCCCTTGTTGGCGGGGTTAACGGCATCCTTCTCCTCGTTGACGATATGGCGATGGAAGGCATCCTTAACGTAGGGCTGGTCGTTCTTAGTGCCCCACAGGAGCTCGTTGTTCGTCTCGTTCTCAGTAAACAGCATACGAGGCATGACATCCTCCTGACTATCGCCGACAGCTGGAGAAGGCGAGAATCGTACGTATCGCTCTCCCAGCTTCTTATGAGAAGTTTTGGCTGTAAGCTGCGACACTTTCTCAATTGAGGGTTTCTCCTTCTCATTCTCATACCCCCAGGACCAGGTGTTTCGGAACCACACATGAGGGACTATGTGCAACGGAGCGGGTTCCGGGCCTCTGTTGTAAGCAATGACACGGAACATGAGTTCCTCCTCATCTTCTCCCTCTTTGGCAGTCTCAATAAAGATATCCCAGTAGCGATTATCGTCAAATGCGCCGGCGTCGAGGAGTTGGTATTCACGGTCCTGCCTTGAACGCCGCGCATTTTCATCAATCAAATCCTGGTAGGGGAATTTCTTCTGAGGGTACTTGTAAAGGTATTTCATGTACGAGTGCTAGAAACGCGCATGTCAGTGCAACGCATAGTTAAGCAGTTGACGGGAGTTCCTTACGGTCGGGGTATTATCCAGGTGAAAGTGAGCTTCCTTGATGCTCTCACCATGATTTCCCTGAGGATTCGACAATCCAAACAGGCGCTCCTTCAAGAAGTCGCTGTTCAACAGTCAATGTCAGAACGCAGCCGAGATCGCATATCCAGGGAGCGTGGACGTACTCCTTCTCATTCCAAAAGGCAAAAGCGATATTTTCTAAGCCATGGGTATCCGAGACACCAGCAATTCCATCCTCGCCCCACCGATATGTTCTTGACCGGGAGTGATCGTGGGAGAAATCTAGCCGTAAGATACGTCGATCAGCCCCGCGCAATTCACATGTGGATAAGACGGACTTACAACTCCACGCGTCTCCATTTTCACTGATTATTCATCAGTAATTGTAAGAAAGCATTGCATTGGACACAATGATGACAATGTCCAAGACTTAGTGAACGACGAAACAAGAGAAGCACTTACGAATAATCCTCTCGGACTGCAGACGGCCGGGAATGAGATTATCAGCGGACAAGCTCCGAATTACCAGTGATGCCACTTGAAGCAACTCATGAGTAGGATGAGAACTCACCTGTGGCCCATTGTCTCTCTGCGACATAAGGACCCCATTTCTTCCAGTATCTGGTCCGTTGACGGTCCTCCTTGAGACGCTGTTCCTCTTGGGTGAGGTACTCTTGCTTGTCAATCAAAACCATGGCTAGATAAACCGGAGATCGATACTCCGGAGAATGTAGGAGACAGAAGGAAACACGTAAGTAATTGAGATAGAAAGCAGAAGAGAAAGAAGGGTGAAGAACGAATGTGTGGGCACGCCAAATAATAATATTACTACTACTACCAAAAACTAGCCGACAGGGCAAGCTCTGTTCCTTGACCTTGGGTGTAGTTACATTGGATGCGAGAGGACACTTGAAGAGGAGCTAGCTACAGCTCAGCAAGACAGATTGGCAATAACTGAGGGACCAGCAGAACCTGATTCGTCCGATGACCGCAGCGGCTTATCAGAAATTGATAGCCATAGTAGTCTGGACTCGTTCGCTCGGCGCATCTTTCTGGATTGCTGGGGATTTCCAAGGTTTGTTAGCTGTGAAGGTGGAGCATCAGAGGGGTACGACAGTAAGGGCGAGATCTGACATCATCGACGGTCAAGCAGATTGGGAGAATGTATGCAATTTAGCTAGATATATAATGGTGCATAATTGTTTTTGATTAGAAGTAGTAAATATAACTAAATACTCGTCTCCGTCATAATGCATCTACTCGATTGGACCTCGTTGATAACGTAGAGGCCAATGGCTATCGCAAGCCAAATGCCAGATGGGATCATCTACATCTCAGGTTCGCAAGCATTTCCACCGCATTCCTTAATGACGGTTGCCTCCCAGTGTGAATTTCTGGGTATCTTTCAATTGCAGCGAGCTAATCCCCTGTAATTCTAGCATGGAAACTCAGGACCAAAATTCTCTGCGGCTACAAAGTTTGATTGACATGAAAATTGCAATAATCTAACGTCGAGTCCACTGTATCGCATCTATGGGTATAAGTACAGAATGCTGCCCCCTTGAGTTGGGAATTTTTTTTGGCGATCGAATAATGTTCAACAAGCGCATTATATCATGCTAAACGCTGCAAAGCTCTTCAGCAGCCTTCTATTCAGAAAGCATCAGTTGGGCTGCAAGGAAAAGAATCAAGGCAGTGGCGTACTACTACCACTTTTCGTCGCTGCGAGTGGAAAGCGGCTCGTACGAGAAAGGAACGAGTTAGATGTACAGAGTTAATAAATCCCAGATTTGTGATGAGCAGACGGATCTCATGTAGATTAAATGCTTGTGTTTGAGATTTTTATCTGCTGCTCGCTCTCAAGTCCAAGCAGAAGACTACACTAGATTCCTTCATGTCAAGCCGAATAAGGAAGGATTATTTTCATACTACTGGGACACTGATAAACTGATCGAACACCCAGAGAAAGTGCTCTATCTAAAGTGCAACGGACTCGTCGCCTGCTCATGCAGGTTTCCCCTAAAAATAGCGTCAAACTGAGACACTCACTCTTCCTTCCGCATCATCTATTTAATGAAACAATATTTGAACGACGACACCTGTTAAGAATTGCAAGGAAGATGTCTCCTCAGCATGACAAAAATTATGATTAAGTGGTAGTAAACAATAAACACATTGTATGCCACAACAAAGTGAACACAAGTCTCCAGGCGAGGAGGATTGTCGCACGGCATATACATGCACAGATTTGACCTAGTACCCCAGTGGCTGCGGTGATCTCCAGAAGCTCATGGCAATCTGGACAAAAGACGTTCCGACATCGTCCACGATCTGGGGTACATGTCGTTSGAAGACGATAAGAATGGAAGGAGAATACACCAGCAAACTTGATGTTCTCAGCCATGTCCCTTGAAAGGTGGTGAAGAAAAGAGTAAAGTTCATTGCACTGAAACCGCATTCGTTACCCATACAAACTAGACGAGACCAGCCTTGATTCCGCAAAGATCAGTCATGAGTTGCGGTTTCGGTCTTGCTCTGGCTGTTCGTCACTGCTGGAGTACTGCCCCGCTGAATCTGTGGGAGATGTCGCGGTCGAAGAGGAGGACTCTATGTTTCGGACGAGATTTTTGTGAGTCGCACTGATACACATACCGATAAAACACTGTCAGTTTTCCTTACCTGCTGTCCGATATTCGTTGTCTACCTTCGATGCGCCTGCGCTGTTTCCCGAGCCGTTTCCATCCACGATGAGTGATTGACGAGCTTTCAGACGTCGCTCGGTCTCCCGGATCTTGGCCTGCAGTTCCTCCAGCTCTCTCGCTTTTATAATCATTTGAAATCTCCTGAGTTACCGGGGCCGTTGGTCAACCCAACTGTCTCGTCATACAATGAACAAGCCTCTAATGAGAACTTACTTCTGATCTATAGTCTGCGACAGGTGATCCACATCCGAATCCAGTGCGAAAACGCTATCCAGCGTTGAGGAAAAGGCCTGAGCCATGGTCCTGCCATGTCTTGGTCAACGCCAACGTTCTGATATCGGGCGCAAACAGGAAGACGAACGACTGTGGGCGACCCTTTGGTTTCCATTCCTGCTCCATGCCCGACATATTGCCCTATTCTCAACAGTGTTCGATTATGTGAGATCAAATGCGGTACGAAAGTACAATCCGATCGAGAAAGATAAGGTGTATAGACGCTGTCAGATCGGTTGGTCGTCTTTGTTCCGTTAAGGAGACGGGTGTTTGAGCGTGCGTCAGGAGGGGGAAGGGGTAAGGTGATCAGTCTATCGGCCAAAAGGTAAAATTAAGAGATATAAGAATTAAAGTGAGATTAATATAGTAGCATGAGACCAGGACCGGCTGAGAATCTATGAGAAAGCTTGATGGACGGACCGGACTGATTGCTGGACCTATAGACCACAAAGGGAGGAACCGCTTTGCGAACCGAGCAGAAGAGCAATAACGAGGAGGCTATCAGCGTGACAGTGCACGGTCGGAGAGCTACAAGGCGCAACAAGTAGGTGTTCGGCTGCAGCAGGAGTACCAAAGACCAAAGCAGGATTGATGAGGAAGGGAGGGAATTGGAAACAAACAAAGAAGATGAAAATAATAACTGATAGTACAGGTTGATCAGTAGTACTAAGTTGTTGCGCTATGGGACCTAGTTAGGTCGTCTACTGCTATTTCTCCTGTCTCCTTTTCTTTCATGCCTGCAGTAATTAGATATTTCTCCATACAACAAGTCGTCGAATCTAAAATTATGGGGAGATTAGAAGCTCCATTCTGGTGTCCACCATCCGCCACTGCAGGAACTCCTTTTGTGTATACTTCCTGACCTTCTCATGTTTGGAGATGCCGCAGGTTCAATGAGACGAGAACTCTGTTGTTCCTCGATCAGCCATCTACCCAACTTGGAGGCGCGCACTGCAATGCCACTATCAGCTTCCAACAGTTGGACAGGGAGCTTCGAGAAAGGGGTTCTGAGCCTGCTACCTAGGCTGACTCCATGAGCTTCTTGCCTAAGTGAGAGAAGCCCCTGACGATGTGGGGTATTGTCATTTTAAGGTATGTACCTTGTAATCGCCATGTAAAGCCACAGCATTTTTTTATCGTCCAGCATATCAGAAGTGCCAGTGGCAGACGTCATACAATAATGATATCCCAGGGAAATTCTCCAGTAGTAATTGAGGCAAGGTTCTCATAGGTATCTCAGCCCCTGTTCCTTTTCCTCATCAGTAACGCGCTCGTCAGTGGTCAAAGCACCTCCTGGTCTTTTGAATGGCTGCCCAGAAGACTTTGAAAGTTTGAATTCTCAACTAGCATACCAATGTGTGATTCTCATCGGTGACTCTTCATTCTCCAAAACCAATATGGTTGATTAATGCCAATGTGCCCTGGACCTACCACACCTCGCATGGTATGGATATAGATAAAAAATGACATGCAATTTGTCGTCATGCTGCAAGATGAAGTAGCGTCATCGCCAAGGTGCTGCATCTGAAAGGGGCCCCCTGGAAAGAGGTAAGGTACAGKAGGTTGTACTGTAAAGTAATTACATTAAGGTAGCCATTGGATACCAGAATTCCACATAATTTTGGGCATGTTGATCAGTGGACATAATTCACGTGATTTAGCCCCTCTGTTGGGCGGTCGGGGTCCTTTGTCAAATTTTCCCTCTCTGGAAGGAAGCAGAGACCACCACCAGAAAGCAGTCTTGTCATAGCAGTAGCTCGTCCCTCTGCACCCAGCAACGTGTTCATCACCATTTTCTCAGTCCATCAAGAATTCGTTCTACGCATCAAATACAACCTTTCAAGTTAAAATTCCTCTGCCTCAAAGCATTTTTTTTCCCCCGATTTTTACTGGCTCACTTTTTGTCGGTTTCTGGACACCGTGTCTCCCTCGAGAGATTTTCTCCCTGCTTTTTCTGCACTAATGGTCTAAACCGCTAGCCGCACCAGTTGTGGTCGCGTTCTCTAGTGGTTTGGTTGATTAGAGGATCCGGGTCCATCGGGCCAACCGCCGACATCGTCCATCACCGTGGCCCCCATTTCCAAATCTTTCTCCCCCAGTGGCCGAGCGAACGGGCAATGGGGGATGCCTCCTCTGTCGGCTTACACTCCTTTTGAATCTCTCCTTTTCTTCCAGTCTCTTGCCACCTTGGGTACCCGTCCTATCAACTTCGCATCCATCTCCGATATTCTACGTAACAATACGTTCGTTCGCGAGAATGTCGCATTCAACGCGGACAGGCTCAAGCCGGAGGCCCTCGAGGAGTTATACACTACCTTGATGCGAGATGGACTAGATGGCGCCGAAGCCGTCTCACTTCCCGAACAAAATGGTGTACATCCCGAAGGCGCTCAACCCACTAACCCGCTGAAACGTAAGATCGCGAGTCCACGTCCGGAGGTGTTAGTTGATAAGGGAAGAAGCCATGCTAGCTTTCTTCCCGAGTTAGTGTCTCATCTATATGCCAAATACAAGGAACTCGCGACTAGAGAGATTCGGAACGAGGAAAGGAAATATAAAGAAATCAGTGATGAAATTGAAAGGCTACAGAAGGAGGAGCGCCAGAAACCCTCACAGGCAGCACCTGCGCCAACGTCTGTACAGGTATCCACAGGACGAGGATCACAAGCGAAACAAGACTTTGCGCCGGAGCCCATGTACTTGGATGTCAAGGAGGAAAGGCCCGCTCAGCAACTTCGGCAGGAACCCAGCCAACCTGCAGTCCAGCCGCCGTTGGATTCCAAGGTCAAGCAAGTAGAGCAGGAACCGCAGCGCAAGGATATTGTACCCTCGCCACCGCAAGAAGAGCTAGSGCAACCGACGGCGCCGTCGACAGCGGCCGCAGCGATACAACAGCCCCAGGTGCCGCCCACTCAACCGCCAGCTCAACAGCCAGCTCAACAGCCAGCTCAACAGCCTAATGCTCAACATTTTCCGCACACGCCTGCTGGATTACCCTCAAAACCACAGCCGGTTGATGGTCAGGCACCCTCGGCAGTCCAACAAGCACCAGCCACCGTGCCTCCGACAGTGTCTTCGGCACAAAAGGCGAAGATTGGGCCTGCTGTACATTCGCAGAAGCCCGCCGCTGCCCCAACTCCGAGCCCGGGCAATTTGCCAACTTTTACGGCAGCGCCCTTGCAAGCTCAGCATGACATTCACAAACCTTCTCCTGTTTCTGCTGCATCTCCAGCTTCAGCAGCCAGACCTGCAGGCAAGAAGGGTGCTTCAGCTGCCACGTCTGTCTCAGCATCTCAACATCCCACACCCCAGCCAATAATTCAGCAGTGGTCCTTACATCAGCCACCTCAGACCCCGCAGCCACCGCCTTTTACCTACCCGCAACAACAGGCAGATAAGCGTGCTACGGTGGGGAGACCATCCGCAAGCGCTCTCCAACACACAGCGAAACCCGAGCCTGGAAAGACTATTCAAGCTACTCCCCAAACGCCTGTACCTTCTACGCCAGGGCCTTCTTCGGCACCGATCGTATCAACAGCGGTCAACGGCCATGCTCGGGGTTACCAGACGCCTGTCGGAGCAGCGCAAGGATTGCTTTCGGAAGCGCAAAGTGTCCATCGCCCTCAGCTCTCCGTCGATACGAGATCTTCTACACCTTGGAAGAAGACACCTCGGCTTAGCATTTCCCTGTCGCCCAGATCACCGGTTCGACCCCGGCCAGAGGATGTCAGCCCTATTAGTGAAAGAGCTTCATCGCCAATTGAGTTTTCTGAGCCACTTCCAGAAGAAACAGGAAGCCGCCGAAACAAACGCCGCGCTGTTGAAGAAAGGGCGGCGAAAGCAATTCAGGAACCCAGCCTGGCGCAAGATTTGGAACCTAAAGGGCGGCTGAAAGCCAAAGTAGAAAGAGCCACAGGGTCCGCTGCTGGAAAGAAACGGGATCGAAGCACGACCTCCTCAAGAAGCCGAGGAAGGTCCGTAGTGTCGCGCGATGAGGAAACCGTCGCCGAGGCTGGAAACGGGCCTATTGGAAAGATCAAGCATGAGTTGCCTGGTACCCCGGCTAATATCCCAGAGACATCTGAAGTGGAGGGTCGTGCCAGTGGAGCCCGAAAAGGCGCTGCCGCTTTGTCTCAGACCGAAGAACGTCCAGGGAGGGGGAGGCCGAAACGCAAACGCGGGATCAGTGACGCCCCAGAGCCAGAGCCAATCCCGACTGAGCCTAGCCGGCCGGAATCGACACTGTCCTCATCATTCGTGTTGTGTCCTCGTAACTTTCCCAGAACTGGAGCACCCATAATGAATGACGTGACCATGCATAAGCATGCCTCAATATTCGCGAAGCCGCTGGCTGAGCGAGATGCACCTGGGTACCGAGATCTCATATATCGACCGCAAGATTTGAAATCCATCAAGTCGTCCATCCATCAAGGCAGTAGAGCTGTGACTGCAGCTACAGAAGCTGCCAGCACACCAGCTGCAGATGGAGAGTCCCCGGCTCCCAATGCAGGCACGACTTCCAAGAACGCTGTTCTAGTGCTGCCAAAGACTGAAGACGTCATTCCTCCCAAAGCCATAGTCAACTCGGCACAGCTGGAGAAAGAACTGATTCGCATGTTCGCTAACGCCGTCATGTTCAATCCCATTCCGCAACGTGGGTTCGGACCTGCCTTCCCGATGATCAGCGATAATGGGTCACGAGAAAGCACGCAAGCCCCCGAACCGGATGAAGGAGGCATCATCAAAGACACTCTGGAGATGTTCGAAGATGTCGAGCAAGCGGTGACGAGATGGCGGGCGGCGGAACGCACTGCTGATGAACTAGCGAGCAAGAGCATCTTATCCCTTCGAAGAGGGAGCACGAGCGATTTAAACACGGATAGCGCAGATGAAGTCAAGGGGCCATGACACGCTGCTGGAAGGATTGGAAGTTATTGGATGAAATGTATGATTAGCGGGAGGGATCTGCCTTCAAATTCCAGAAAGGCCATCGTGTATGTGTAGCATATCTGTGCCAGAGCGCTGTTACAAGCCAGCCACAGGCATCATGAAATGAATCTAAAGGAAATACGAACGATTTCACCAAGCCGCATTATTGTTAAGACGTTCTCGGCGTTTGACATAAGATTTCCGGC